CCCCCACACCCCGCCACAGCGACAGTGTGTCCGGCAGCGTCGGGCGCAGACCACGGAGCCGGGAAGATGATGTGCGAGGTGATGCCGACCATCAGCGAGGGAGACTCGGCCGGTCCTCCGAGAGGCACCGGCGGCGTCCCGAACGGCTCGGAGCAGGAGGCCAACTTCGAGCAGCTGATGGTCAACATGCTGGACGAGCGGGACAAGCTGCTGGAGTCCCTCAGGGAGACGCAGGAGACCCTCATCCAGTGCCAGGCCAAGCTGCAGGGGGCGCTCCACGAGAGGGACATGCTCCAGCGGCAGATCAACGCCGCGCTGCCTCAGGTGAGCGAGGGAGCAGGCGGCCTTCCTGCGCGTGGAGGGGCTGGCTGGGTGGGCAGGCATGCTGGGAGGAAACGCATCTTCACCGTGTAAGATGCTGTAGGTTTGTTTCATTCCAAAATTGGGCAGCTGCTTGTTAAGGCATTGGGTTTGGACCACCAGTTTGTGCAGAATGGGACCCCCCCCCCCTCCCCCCCAAGCTGCAGGTTGTGTAGACGTTTCCATACAAATGGATACACAGTAAAAAGTACACAATTTATTCCCATTGCGAGGATTTAATTTGAAGTGAGGTTCTGTGGAGAGGGTATGAACAGTTAATATCTTACCTGGTAGAGGTCTTCAACGCTGTTCCTCATCAGCATGTTAGATGTTCTGCTTCAACACAGCTGAATGAAATGAATGAGTGATTGGCTTCTGCCAAATTGGATGCCATTCTGCGTCGGTGGTTTAATTATTTGAATCAGGTGTGCCAAATCAGGGAAACGGCTAAAACATTTAGGCCAGTGGGTCACGAGGAACAAGGCTACCTTTGGTTTGGGAGGCTCTGATCAGACTGGTAAGCTAGCTGCTTAGCAAAGTCAGTGTGGACTGCTGCCAGCTTATTTCTCCACTTCCAAAATATTCTGATTTTTTTTTTATTAAATACATGTCTGCCTTTTTTTAAATTCCATGATTATTTACACAGAATGTAGCTTTTTTGTTGATGTTTCAAAATTCAAATAGCATAATCAGATGCTTGTCCAGAAAAATTCTGACAGCAAAGGTTGTTTATTGCAGCGTGCACGATTCTGTGCCATTTTTAAGAATGGAGTTGTTTTAAGATGGCAGCAAACCACTTTGGTCTTGGATGTGTTCACTATTCGTTAGCTTGTGAGGAAGATAAACCCTTAATTTAAAAAAGATACGCCTCTGCAGCAGGTGAACTAATAAAGGAAGATTCGGGACTCCGAGATAAGATAGATGCTTCGTTAAAGCAGCCGTTTCTGAGTTTAACCAGATGTAGCAACTTTTATGCTCTGATAAATTACAGCGTTTTCATGTTATGTTGATTGATGGTGTGCTGAGTACTTGTATCCCATGTTTATTGTATTTTAAGCTTATTTATATGCATTTGTTACAACTCTAAGAGAGTGCTGAACTTTAACATGCAAACAAACCTAAACTTGAATTGTTCATAATCTTATAGTTTTTACATTTTAAACATTCAGAGTTATTGCTTTAAATGCACAGCAGCTCTTATAAACTGGCCGATCCCAACACTAAAACAAACAGATGAGGAAACTCTGAGTGTTCCAGGTATAGCTTATCGGCTGCTGAATGCTTCTAACGCAGGAGGAAGTGTGAAGGTGATGGATGCAGGGATGGAGCTCAGAAAGCTCAGAAGTGGCAGCACGCCTGAAACATGTAGCAGAAACAGAAAGGTGGGCTGGAGCCATGAGCCAGATGTCGAGAGAGCCCTTGCAGTTTAAGACAACACCCGCGTGGAAATGACCTCATTTCTGTTTGCCCTGACCTGCGTGTGACGTAGTGAGAGAAGCTGCTTGTAAATGTGGTTACACTTTGGTAGCCTCTGTGTGTTCGAGGAAAGGAAAGCTGAATGAGGTCTGCTGCACTCACTGAGCATGACGACAATGAAGCCAGAGCACATAAAGCAGTGTTACCCTCTGACCCTCTGGTCTGAATGCGTGGCATGATGTCACAGAGCGCAGAGGATGTGTGTGTGTGTGTTTGTGTGTATGTGAAAGACAGAGATGATGACGACAGGCTGCTGGCTGCAGCCTCTTGTGAAGGAAACATGGCTGCTTGTTAGTGTACATGGCCCTGGGCTGCTTGCTTCCACACATCTGTGTGTGTGTGTGTGTGTGTGTGTGTGTGTGTGTGTGTGTGTGTGTGTGTGTGTG